CTTTGATTGTATTCCTCAATTTCCCTGTCACTAGAAGGCAATACCCCACACCCACAGTTTAAAGGAGGAGAAATTTAACGTGGCTCACATTTTAAGAGGATTCAGTCCATGGTAAGAGGACTCCAAGGCAGAAACAACATGGCCAAAAGTAGCTGTGAAGGAGCACAAGGGAACAAAGTTGGAGAAGAAGGGCTGTATAACGCAGACCTTGAGATCATAGCTCCATGACCCACCCAGACACACCGGAAGGATGCAGTAATAATCTCCTGGGCAGATCCCAAGCCAATCAAGTTGACACTCTAGATTATCCATTCCAGTACAAAAGCAATATTTTCCCTAATATTTTCTATCTGAGATTGTTCAAATCCACAATGCAGAACCCAGACATGGAAGGCCAACTTCACACAACACCAAGCTTTAGGAGGACTTAGGGATATGCACTGAGGAGAAAGGGCTAAGTGCTTACATTCCAGCAAGCAGAATCCCTAAATTGAGGGAGATGGAGAAGGCAGAGTCTTTGTGAGGCCCTGCTAGATTTTTAAATTGCATCATGTTTTGTATTTCCCCAAGACTTGACATTTGTCCTGCCGAATTCCAGATGCATCTCGCTAATCATGTGCTCAGCTTCTAGAACATTCATCAGGAACGGGTGTGCACGCAGCGGATAGTGCAGCAGTAAGTCTTCTGCAGAGTTAGAGGCTGGAGTCCCAGTGAGCTGTGCCTACTGGAAGCTGCACAGAACCAGGTGAGGTGCCAGCCCCAGGCATCCTCTGAGAAAGCTCTGTGAGTCATCCACTGAAATACCAGGGACAGGACAGTGCTGTGGTTTAAATCTTAGCTCTCAAGCCAGATGGTTTACTTTTTTTAATTGTAAGCTTCACCACATGAACTATGTGACTTAGGCCAAATAACAATGCTGTTACTCAGTCTCCCCATCTGTAAAATGGATCTAATAATGGCACCTGCCTCACCACTTTGCAAAGGTTAACTCAGTGAATGTAAAGAAGCATAAACAGTTTCACCATTCTTGGACTTCCCTGACCAATCTGTGATAATCTTTCTCTCCAAAATCATGTTTTATTTTCACAGCATCTATCACTATCTAAAATCAATTTCCTTAGTTATTAAACTTTAAATGACTGAGACGTTTAATAACAGGTTGCAATTTATACTCAAATGATAGACTGTTAAATGGCCATCAAACAATCCAAGTTTTATTTTTCCTCAACACATTGTCAAGATTAAAAGTGAAGCTACCAAAAAGCATGTGTAGCATACTCTAATTTCATTATTTCCTTGATATATATACTTGAGGTTTTTATTTATAATTCCTATACATGCACACATATACGTTAATAGTAGCTCTCTAAGTGAAAAGATAAAAAGGATTTTAATGTTTTGAGCTTCTAGTTTCCAAATTTCTGATAATGAATATATATTATCTTTGTAACTACAAGGGAAACATTGTTTATTACAGTGTATGGGAAGCTGGAGATGGGAGGAAAAAGAGGATAGGTCCCTCTCTCTGTGGATGCCGCCTCTGCAATTCTGCTGAAAATCCAGACCTCATTCAGTACTTGTGACACTCCCAGAGAGAGAGCTTCTCTCCCAAATATGAGGCTACCTCATAGCCCCTGATGCCTCTGCAGCCTCTTCTAGAACTTGTACAATCAATTTTTTTTTGCATTACTTTCTTACTGTCATAAAAAAAAGTTTTGTTTTCCTGAGTGGACTCTCACTGATACTCTGCCTGACCCATCATCCTTTTCTAGTAATCTATCACAGAGAAACAACAAGAGAAGGCGACGGTTAAGCCTCAATGGAAAGAACTGTTCATTGTTGCGTTATCATTTGGAAAAAGTTTGGAAGAAAACATTGATGTCCATAGATGGGTTGAATTTTGCACTCCAAAAGCAAAAGTTCAACTCCTAAACCCTGGTACCTTTGTATTGGGGACCTGGACTAGATCCCAATCTCCCAAACAAGTGTACAGCAAAGACTTAAATAAATGAGATAAGTGGTATGATTTTAGGGCTCCAGGAGAATCAAAACCCTCTGCAGAGTTCGAGGACTCTAGTGGCTAAGACAGGGGATGTAACTGGATAGCCTGTATTTATTTAGAGAGTTACAGTGGAAAACAGGAAATTGAACAGACCTTGGGAGTGGTTCAAAGACTTTGCAAGTAATAAATTAGGACAACAAGGAGGAGTATCTAGGAGAAGATCTCCATGTTACATTTCACTACATGGGTGAAACGCCTGCGGCTGCAGTCTTTATTTAGTCAACTGGAGTAGGAGCCAGGGGTCCTCAGCCATTATCTTATCTTCCCCTGGCCACGCAGCAGCCCTGCCCTGCACGTGTGTTCAATTTCCAGTTTCAACGGCTCCCAACACCTGTGAATGTGCTCTTTTTTGAGACAGGGTATTTGCAGATGTAATCAAGCATAAATGAAGTCCTAACGGGATTAGAGTGGGCCTTAATCCAGTGACCAGGGTCTTCATAATAAGAGAAAATGGGGCACAGATGCATAACTAGAAGGCCATGTGACAGTGGAGGCAGAGCGTTGCAGTTGCAAGCCAAGGGTTGCTGGCAGGAGCTAGAAGACGCAAGGAAGGACCCTTCCTCAGAGCCTGCAGGGGGAACATGTGCCTGCCAACCCCTGGATTTCAGGCCTGTAGCCCCTAGGGCTATGAGAGAAGCAATTGTGCTATTGTAAGCCACCCAGTTTGGATTCACTTGTTTAGGCAGTCCTGGAAATTAATGTAGGAAGCCGTAGAGGATACATATGCTAAATAATAACATAAAACTTAATGAAAGAACTCATTTTGAATGCAGTTTCCTTAGTCCTGTTGTAGATATTCAGGGCAATAAATCTGGTTTAGCAGCCAGTAATGTATTCTGGCAGTCATCAGGTGGTAGGCTTCTTAGCCACCTGCAGCTGGAGTCGCTCACAAGTGGGCCTTAATATTTTCCCCTGAAATATAGTTTAAGTGATTTAAGAAGAGGAAAAGAAGCTACTGTTCTTAGTTTCCACCCTCGAGTTCTTTCAGACTTCAGTGGAGCCTTAATTTCCAGCTAACTGAGCTGTCAGTCTTACTTAGAAGGAACTGGTTTCCTTCAGTCAGAGTTGGGAAGGTATCACTGAAGCCTGAGGAGGTGTTTGCCAGCTTTCTCACAAGATGAGGCTCTTCCAGTCCCAAATGAGAGAAACCAACCTTAGCTAACTTAGACATGGAAGAAAGGAAAGAAGGAAGGAAAAAGGAAGGAAGGGAGGAAGAAAAGAAAGAAAAAGAAAGCAAAGAAAGAAGGGCGGAAGTGAAGCAGGGACAAGCCTGGGCTGTGTCTGGACACAGGGCAGATTCAAGCCTTAGCATTGGCAATAGGTCTAAGCCACTGTCTTCACTCAAGAGTTTGGACTTTGTTTTGTTTTGCATTCAGATGTCCAGATTTTTCAGACACAGACTTGATTATGGAAACAATTCAGGTCAGGGGTCCCTGGACCAGGCAGCTATGGCCAAGAAGGAGCAGGGTCTCATGAGTCAGGTGTGGTAGGTAGGTGAGGGCCTCTCCATGTGAATGGGAGCCAGTTCTTGGAGCAGGGGAAAGAGAGGGTGGCAACTGCCTCTCAGAGGCCTCTTCTCCTGACTGCCTTCCATAATTCCCAACCCTAAGCTACTGCTCTGAGAGCAGACTTTCTCTCCGGGTAATTCATTTTTGTGTCCCTTTCTTGTCTTTCACACACCATTTGAGATCAATCCACTTCTGAAAAGCCTCTTCCGTGTCCTTTTCCCCACAGTTGCACCCATGTGGAATTTGGATTCGTCTTGCACAGGTGTGCATCGCTGTGAAATTCTCTTTCGGAGGGAACTCCTTTAGGATTCCTGAAAAGATACAGCTCTTTGCACAATGACGCCAGGAAATGAGAGCCAGCAAGTTCTGATTTGGGTTATCTTTCTAGTGGTGATGCTGGGTCATATCGAATCATTACACTAGTTTCCCTCATAAGCGGTATCACGGATGGGGAGGCAGACTGATTGTTTGAAGGGTGCAGTCTACAGGGCTTTTCATGACAGGAAAGCTGACTGCTAAGTGGAATCCACACACTAAATCAGTGATGGCAAAATTTTTAGAGACCAAGCGACCAACTACAACCCAAGGCTCACTTATTTATCGCAAAAGTACCAACACTGCTATTAAACCTGAATAATGACATTTTAGTTTGGAGAACTATTGTTATCTGATGCTAGGCTGCTGTGGTGACCTGGTTCGCATGCCCACATAGAGGGCTCTGCATGACCACTGCAGTGTATGTGCCGTAAGTTCACCACAACTGCCCTAAATGGAACCAGTCACCAGCTTCAAAGAATCCAAGCAATTTCCTTGGGTACTTTTATGTTTTACTCTTTCTCCACAAAAACTACCTTAGCTATCACATCATCTAACATTAACTAAAATGAAACAGCTCTTAAGGGTCACAGGAAGGTATCGCAAAGTTTAGAAATGTTCATTGAATTTATGGACACGCTCTGCCTACATTGGACTGAGGGCCAGTGTCACTTTCACATGACCATCTGCTCTCCAGTAAGGCGGATTCACAATAATCCCTCCATTGGGGAGAGCTGAGAGGATTAAGGTAAGTTTAAAAAATATTAGAGCAGCTCCTGTTATGTGGCAAGTGCTCAAAAAATGTTAGCAGCTCTAAGGATCTTCTGACCCCTACTGGAAGCACCTTCTCTCTGTAGAAGAGGCGCTCGCTTGCCCTGATCTTTGTTCACCACTGAAGCAGACACGGCTGGGAGCCCCTTCCCCTGTATCTCTAGCAGAGCCACTGTGGTGCCCAATGTGTGAGGGCTGCTAGAGAGCCAGGCTGTATCACTGGAACAGAGATGTAATAAAGAAAATTGTGACCCCAAGGTTCCATACCTGTGTAAAAAGTGTGTAGCCAGTGGAAAGAGCATCTAGATGGCAGAAGTGCAAGGATGGAAGGGAAGCTTTTCACGTTTGCACTTTCAAACCTCTTAACTTTTTTCAGTGTTTATTTTTTATTAGTACATGTTTGCATTAAAGATTGCATTCACTGTGGGGAGTTGTTAACATGTACATGATACATCTCAGTTTTTTTTACCCCCCATTTTTAAATCCCTTTTTCATTTAAGAAAGATTTACCTCCCTGCTTGCTATTATCTATCTTTTTATTTTGCTCTTCATTTATATTTGGGTTTCTCATATAAGAGAAACTCTGTGATATATCAGCTTGTGTGTCTGATTTGTTTCACTTAATATTATCATTTCAAGATACATGCATTTTCTTACAAATGACTCGTTCATTCTTCTTTATGGCTGAGTAATACTCCATGGTGCACAAATATCACATTTTCTTTATTCATCTGCTGATGCACACGTAGATTGCTTTCAAGATTTAGCTATTATGTATTGTACTACTGTAAACATGGGCATGTGCATATCAATGTAATATGATGTCTTTAGTTCTTCTCGGGATGATACCTAAAAAGGAAAAGAGCTGGATTAAATTGGAATTTCTACTTCCTAAAGAATCTCTACACTAGGGGCTGGGGATTTAGCTCAGTGGCATAAGTGCCTGGCATGCAAGCCTGCCGTCGTGAGTTTGATCCCTGGTACCAATAAAAAAAAAAGAATCTCTACCCTGATGTCCATAGTAGTTGTACTATTTTACATTCCTGCCAACAATGTAGTAGAGTTTCTTTTTCTTCACAACCCTACCAGCACTTGTCATCATTTGACTTCTTGGTGATAGCATACTTTCTGGAGTAAGATGGAATCTCAGTGTTGTTTAAATTTTCATTTCTCTAGCAGCCAGAAATGTTGAATATTTTTTCACGCACTTATTGGTCATTTATATTTTTTCTTCTGAGAAGTGTCTATTCATTTCAGCTACCTTTTATATATTTCTCTACTCTTCTAAAAGTCTTAACTCCTCTTATGATCATTTAGGATCTCTAATCAATAAACTAACTCTAGAAGAGTGGAAAGAATTTGGGCTTTGGTCGAAGTAAGGTTCACGACAGAACCTATCATTTATTATCTATATGGTGCTAAATTACAATTCTCCCAGTCTCACTTTCCAATATCCTTGTCTATAATATGGAAGTACTCATTTCTGCCTCACACAATTAAATAATACATGTGTAGTGGGTTTAGACCATATTAGATATTCAGTGAATGGTGGTTTCTTTAATGCCACTAACTTTCCTGATGTGTATCAGGCTGTGCTATAGCCCCAAATTTCAGGTTTAGGAAACTTAATCCCCAAAGTCATATGTTAATGTTATTTGAGAAGTTGGAGCTTTCGCAAAGGACTGGCAATCCAATCACGGAGTAGTGGGTTAGTAGGTTTTGGAGGGAGCCTCACTATCAGGTGCCTTGGGATGTCTTGGGCCTCTGCTGCAAGGAGGTCATTACCAGACATGCTTTCTCAGCATCCAGATTTGTAAGAAATAAATTTCTTTTCTTTTTAAATTATTCAGTATCAGGCTGGTTGCCACTCAAATGTTAACATATATAGGATTGCCCAGGATAAGAGCCACTTACTATATAAGTAGATGCACATTACCTTTTGAAGGAGACTTGAGAATAAGCATTTTTAACAAACATCCAAGATATGCTCCTATGTACCAAAGCTTGAAAGAACCAAAGTCTCATTAATCCTTATAATATGAAAAATGACATCAGTAATCAAATTTTTAGATGAGAAACTGAGGCTTACAAGGTTAAGTGATTTGCCACAATACCAGGGCAATTTCCTATACCTCTGATTTCAGAGTTCAGCTCTTCAGTATGAAGATAGAAATCTTTAGTGATGGTATTTGAGGCATCCAAGACAGAAAAGTGAAAAAGATATTTTTTTGCTATAATCTATTTTTGGCACACCTGGTAGGTGATTTGTAGGGATTTAGAAGGCAGTTTATATCACCTGATTATGTAACTCTGTACAGTTAATTTAAGAAAGGATGCACCTGATCCAAGTGTCTTGGGAACTTTCAACACTGAAATGGCTGACCAACTGCCAGTTGGCTTTCTAGAAGGATAGTTAGAGATTTTGCTGACAGACAAGCTTCCCCCTTCCTTTATTGTATAGTTTGAGCCTTAATAAGGGAAGGATGCACTTGCTGGTAAACAAAGTTCTAGAAAAATCTTAGACCAGGAAATGACAAATCTTGGCTTGAACCATTACAAGTGAGGATGGCCATCAGCCAATATACTACCAGGTAGGCTATTTATACTGCAAAAGGAAATAACTTTCCTTGTAGGCTACTTCTTTTTCAAATTCTGCCTAATCCCAAATATTGTTCCAGAAGCAACAATCTGGGTTTGGAACTAATATAACAAAAATTTAATGGACATCCACATGGCTTCGTACTATAAATGCAATACCCTATGCCATTATTTTAGAGGTTCAATGGTTAACTGATGCATTAATTTTCTCTTGTTGCTGAGATAGAATACTCAATGCCCAACATTAAAAGGGGAAAAGGTTTATTTAGCTCAAAGTTTGTAGAGGTTTTAGTTCATAATCAGCTAGCTCCAAGTGACACATGGCAGAAGGCCAACAGTGGAAGTGGCAGTGGAAGACAACAAAGGCAACAAAGGAGGAGAGAAAGAGAGAAGGACAAACCCCTTGCTGTCCCCTACAGTGGGTTTATGCAGGCTACCTGCCCTAGGGCAGGTGTAGCACTCACAGCTTAATCCCAGCAGTGCACTATGAATCGATCACACACTCAAGATTCAGCCACCTCCCAATAGACGCTGTGACCACATAAAGTTTTGAGGGGAAAAGATAATAACAAATGGGTCTTTTAAAGGGAAAAATCATAACAAATGGGCATTTTAAGTCAAGATTAGCTTGATTTCTGTCTCTGACCTTTTCATTTGCTTCTTGGAAATGGCTCCTGAGCACATCTGTAAGAAATGTTCTTCAGGCTGTTGTGGAGAATTTTTTTTGTATCAATTTATTTTGAGTAAAGGATACTTGAAAAAGAAACTAACTATGGACAGGGATGCTGAAACTAGCCAGGGGAAAAAATCAAACCCCAACTTGGTACAGAGAGTTCAACAATTGGATATGAAGTTTTTGTACTTTAAAGACATTTGAGGTTGTGGCAGCAAAATCATACAAGCTAAAGTTTCCCCATGAGCTTTGGGAAGCAAATCCAATTTCTTATCAAAGAAATGAGCTTATTTCTTTCTACTTCCAATTAAAGACAGAACATGATTTTCCTTGATGTTGGTAACTCAGCAATTCACAGACATCCCGAGTGGGATTACAACTCAACAGTTAGCAGGGTGAATATGGAAAAGAGGTTTGAGTATGAATCGGTTTAACTACACGAGGCTGTGAAATACATGAGGCTCAGAATTACTTTTTTGCCTTCTTTTTGCAGAGGAGCATAAACCTCGATTAAGTGAGAAGTGCTGGACTCTTGGAGAAGCCAGTAACTGTAAAATAAACCATTTTTGCACTGTGGACATGGCCAATTTGTGGTGTTCACTGACCATGATTAAGTAAAATCAGAAACATTAAAACCAATTTCTGAAATCTAGCTGAGGACCTAGAGCAAGAGTTTATGAGTTGGATGAACACTATTATACCTGCTAGGAATTTTCTTATAATCAAATGTATTTATGCATCACAAACCATTATTTACTTTACATTACTGACTTTTACAGTTCAAAGTGAACATTTTTAGGAGAAATACTAACCAGCTTTGTCTTTGACATCCAAAGTAGCATTGTCTCTTCAGTACAGACAAAGCCAATGTCTCGAGCCACCTCTGAAGCTGTGTTTCTTAGTAAATAGAAAAACATCAGTCATTAAAATTCTCAACCAGGAATCAAAGACAAGAAATGAGTCAGGGGCCTTCTCTGTTGATTTCAGTGTGGTTGTAAGAACTACACCTGTCTTAATTTGCACTATAGAATTCTTAAACTCTAGACCCAAGCAAATCAGATGCATGCCAATTTAAAGAGAAAGGCAAATACAGGAAGACTAGCTGTGTCGGTACAAACAACTCATATGCAATTGAGAAATGTGATAGATTCTTTGAGTCACTATCTCACCCACTCATTCAATGACTGTTGAAAGAATGCAAGGTCAGAAGTCAACCTCCTAGGTGACCCTAAAAGCAGTGCTCAGTATGCTGGCTGAAACGTAAGTAGCCTTTTATCTTTCGAAATACAGCTAATAGCCAGCCTCGTGGTAGTACGTATCCCAGCTACTAGATAGGCTGAGTCAGGAAGATGGACTGAATCTAGTTCCAAGTCAGCCTGGGCAAAACAACAAGACTGTCTCAAAAAGGTATCTTTTAAAAGAAGATAAAATGTAGCCAATAAGCATGTGGTTTGTACCCAGTTCAATTAAGCTTTTCTACTTTGATAGTCTAGGTATAAAGAAACCTGTGAACACTGAGGGTAAAGATATCTAGCTTTGCCTCATTTCCCACCGTTTTAAGCACTCCTTGCTGCTTACTGGTTTGCATCTGCCCACGTGAAGAAATGCTCGCTCTCAATTCTCCTTTCTGGCCTTTGCCTTTCCATAAATGAGCATCCGACTAAGGGATAACTAGGGGAAATCCTGGCTGTCAATTTTTTAAAGCCATATTTCAACCTAATAGTGGGGAAAATGCTACAAAAGAGACGATAAAGAAAGCAAATGTCTTCCCAGATAATCTTTCATCTCCAAAATTCCATACTTCACAAATAGGAATATGGAAATCTAGTTGAGTAAGTAACTGTGTAACAAGAGCAAAAAACTTTGTTAGCCCAAACTGGAGAATTCAGTCTTTTCTCTCCTCTTTACCACTTCCTGTTCAATTGTCCTCTATTAATTTTTTTCATGCCACACTCAGAAACCAATAGCACAAAGTTACTGAACATAAACATCTCTAGTCTACCTCTTTCTTACAGTTTTGTTCCTCATTTTTCTTCCCACTTCCCCTTAAGGAGGATTTGTCTGTCTTTCCTAAATGGGCTGCAGTCTGTAATTAGTTTTATGAATTTTTTTTTGCAGGATCTTTTTCTTAAAGTTTTTTTTTTCATACAAAATGCCATTAGGACTCTAATCTCAACATAATGATCCAGAATTACAATGAGTATTTTGGGGGGAAAAAGAAATAAATAAAAAGAAGATTGGTTACTAATTGTTAGAAGGCTTTGCTGACAAACAGTTGTAGCCATAAATTAAAACAGACAAAAAAATTCGAAAAGGCACCATTTGGTAACTATCTTGGTCTTTCTTAGCCACACTCTCTAGATTATAACCACCATCCTAAGCCCTTAAGAGAAACAATGTCCCTTGGAGGTATTAATGTTGCGCCTCTCACACAGTGGTTTCTGCTTCATATTTTTTGTTACTAGCTATTTCTTGACCCCATCATTTCTTTGCCTCTACACTAAGTAGAGTTGTGCTTAAAACAGCATCCAGCAACCAAAGCCACCTCTCCTCACCTCCACTGCCGCCCTGGGAGACACTGGTCACCCTCCACATTCCCATGGTGTATGAACCACATTCTGTCTCTACTTCTCTCTGGAAGTTTCAATTCTTAAAACTCAGTAATACTGAATCCCTTCTTAGTTTCCCCCAGCAAGTTGAATTCCTCTCTATGAGTACGTTTTTCTTTCAGAATTTTTTTCAAACCTTGCATCTTGTTCTTTTTGCTATTTTGTAGGCTTCTGCCTAGCCTTGGATCCATTTTGTTTAGGTGACATCCTTTCCTGTCAGTTTTAGACAGGAGCTAATTTCTTTTCCAATCTTTTATCATATCTTTAAGATGTTGAAAGAAAACGTGCCCTATATATTCAGTTCTATTTTTTTTTCTTTCTTACTTTTCTTTTTTTCCTTTGTTTTTATTTATTTTTTTAGACAAGATCTCACCATGTAGCCCAGGCCGGCCTCAGACAGACAGTTCTCTGGCCTCACGTGTTGGATCAATGGTTCTTCCGGAGGGGTCAGTAAGGACTCAGAACGGAATAAGGGACACTTTTACATTTACTTTTAACCATTTTCCTATTCCTTGAGGTTTTCATCTATAAGGAAAAATGTTTCTTTTTTACACTGATCAGATGGGCAAGTAATTCCTACTAAATGTTTTTAAAGCTCCTTTAGTATTATGATTAGTGAGACATTTTCATGCGGAGCTGTTTGATGACCAGGGAAACCCAGATGGCGGAAGGCTGAGAGGGACAGGGAAGCTTGTTATTCCCCTTGTTTTTGTGGGCAAGTGCTGCTTTTAGCAGGAGTCTAAATCGTTATGAAATAAGACAACTTGGGTTATTTTGATCCCTGTTAGAACCTCTGATTCAAGAGAAAACCCGGCCAGGTGCAGTGGCCCATACCTGTAATCCTCATTACCCAGGAAGATCAAGAGTTTAAGGCCAGCCGAGACAGCATCTTGAGTGACGAAACTCCATCTTGAAAACAAAAGGACTGCAACAGCAACTTTGTTTCAAAAGGGAAATCCAGGCCATAGTTTCTCCTCTATACAGTTTGATTCATGCAAAATCAGTTACGTTGCTATGGTAATCAAGCATGTGCGCGCACCCATAAATAAATAAGGAAGAGGACAAGAGAAAAAGTCTGGCAGGACATACTTCAGAATATCAACTCTAGCTAGTAGAATCGTGAGCAGTTTTCACCTCACACGGATCCCTTCTACTTGCCATTGTATGGACTTTTTGCAATTAGTAATTAGTAATATTGTACTTAGGAGATATAAAATATAATTCATTGCTTCACACGTAGAGAAAGACCTGCAGGCAAAGGGTCCCTGCACCCCAAATACACAGGATGTCTGGAAGGGGGCCACTGCCTAGAAACAGGATTTGCTTGTCTGCTTTTGCCTTCCCTCCCTCCCTTAAATGTGGCCTTTACGTAGGTATAAATTCAAACAAACACATACCCCAAGCAAGACTCCCATCCTCCTAAAGCTAGTGTGTTTAGTCACGGTTCTTTATTCATGCCTAGCACTAATGTGTGTATATCTATCAGGGTCCCCACTGGAAACCAGAGGACAAAGGACATATCCATGTCACCCATATCACCAACCAGGGCCAAGAGCCTACAAGGAATGGAGGTGACAAGAAGGAACAACAGATGTGAATGTCAAGTTATTTTAGTAGTCACATTTGCATAAACATCATATTCAAGTATCAAAGCATATATTTTTATTCTATTTTATTAGTGTGCGTATGGAAGACAGAATGCTTACATTCCTTGTGAAAAGTTAATTCATCCCCTAATATACAAAAGAAACTTATTGCTTCCTTTATTCTTCTACCCATCTCTTGTTCCTTTTTTTTCTTTTGATAAGACACACAAGCTTAAATATCACATTGTTTCTCTTAAGTGAGAAACCCAGAGAAAAGATAAAGAGCAAGATAAAAGGTAGATAATATGAAGTAGGACTACAGATTGTACTGGTAAATTCTAAAAAGATTCTGGGTCAAAACACCTCTAGTGGAGGAAAAGTGTACCAGCAGCGGGTACTAGGAAACTAGAGGTGAAATTCACCCAGCAAAAGTCTACATTCCTGCTCAAAGCCTCGCCAGATGCTAAGAGAGAGAGCCACCATCACCAGTAATCTGACATGGGGAGTAGGGTATAGGAAAGGTTCTCTGGGAGAAAGAAACGTACTGCTTTTGTTTCTGTCTTAAATCATGAGAGGTATGGCAGATCTATGATCCCAAAGGACAAATGGGAGAAGGAGAGTTTGGCTGAAATCTGAGCATTGTCATTAAAAGAGAAAAAGCAGGCAGGGAAAATTTTATTAAATGAAGGTGCTGCCAGAAATAACCTCTGAGACTTTTTCTTGTTTATAATTCTACAGCAAGAAAAAGTTGATAAAAGTCAGATTCTGCTTTCCAGGTGAGATTGTGAAAGAGAGTCTGAGAAATGGAAATTGCCCCCATAAAATTCCCTCAAAAGGAGAGGTGTTTTGAATGAGCTAAGAAAGCAGGAATAAAGAAATCCTAATTTAAGGCATACACCAGTACTTAAAACCACACGTATGAAATCCTGAGGGCAGACTCTCATTTCTATAAGACATGGTCAGGTCTCCCATGGGTTGGCCCACTGTTCCCAAAGACTGAAGCTGTGTGCCATCCCAGGTCATGTGGGCAGCTCGGGCAGCACCAGATCAGCTTGGGTTTTGCTGACTCCAGCTTTCCTACACTGCTGTTATCTGGATTGGGTTTTAGTATCCCCCAAGGCGACATTTGTTGAAATTTAATCCCCATTAAGAGGATTAAGAGGGTGAAAACTTACTCCAGCTATGCTGGTTAGAGATGAGGCCTTTGGGAAATTATGAGAAGTAGATAAATCCAGTAGAGTGGAGCCCCATGGCAGAATCTTGGTAGCTTTATAAGCAAATGGAGAGAGAAACACACACACACACCCTTTTATTACCAAGTGGTAGCCTGTGCTGCCTTCTGACACTGGAGGCAAAAAAGCCATGACTAGATGAGGCCCCTCAGTCGTGTACTTCCAGAGTCATGAACCAACGGAAACCTCTTTTCTTTATAAAGTTACTTAGCCTCAAGTATTTCATTATAGTAAGATTAATGCCATAGATATTTCCTTTATATGCTACTTCTCCTCCTCTTTTGCACTCTACTAACCATTCCTACTCCAGAAAAAGACAATGAGAGAATGAGGAGAAGAAAACCTACCATATCCCTGATGCCTGCTTGGCTACTACTTTGTTTTAAACCCCAGAAAGAATCAGTAATGCTAAATGTTACTCATTTCTTCCCTTCCTGCTCTCCCACTCTGTTGCTAATATTAATTTAATGTTAGGCTGACTATAGCATTTCTCTCACAATAACTTTCATGTTGTGTTTTATGTCCCCACCAGGCAAAGTGAGCTCATTTTTGTTGTTGTTGTTTTGTTCTGTTTTTTTTTTTTCCATTCTCAGACAATCTATTAGGTTGTGCCCATGTGAAACTCTCGTTTGTCACTATTTTTCTTCAGCAGAATAGTTTTGAGCAGGCTTAGGAACAAAGCAAAAGGAACAGAAAATAATATACGTTCCCATGCACCAGCTTATGGTAGAACCATTAAAAAAATTTCATACCAATAGCATAATCCATAAAATAAAAATATTGATAAGTTGAACTTCATTTAAAAATACTACACTCAAAGCAATTCCACTAAGAAAATGAGAAGCCTAGTCATACATTGGGAAGATATTTGCAAATGATATATCTAATAATCAACTTGTATTCAGAATATAATATAAAACTCTTATAACTCAATGATATGATGAACAATCCAACCAAAACAATGGGCAACCGATTTAAGTAGCTATTTCACAAAAGAAAGTATATGAATGTTTAATAAGCATTTGAAAGGATGCCTAGTGTCTTTACTCATTAGGAAACTCTAAACTAAAACCCACAGTAAGTTCCCTTTTTATAACTAATAACATGGATAAAATTTTAAAAAGACAGGAAAAAGTGCTGGAGGGAACATAGAGAAATGGGAAACTTCATACATTGCTAATGGGATGTAAAATAATACAACCACTTTGGAAATGGTCTGATAATGTCATAAAAGGTTAATATAAAATACATACAAACCAGAAATTTTATTCTGAATTATAGATCTAGGGAAATAAAATTAAGCATACACACAGACTTGTATGCAATGTTCATTGCAGCATTATTTATAGTAACCAGTGTTAGGCTAACTGAAAGAAGCCAGATATATGACAGTAGACTTTATATTTATTGCACTTATATGAAATCTGTAGATTAGTGGTTGCCTGGGGTTGAGTGTGGAGTGGAAACTTACTGCAAAAGGGCAGAGGCACAATAAAAAACATTCTAAAACCGGGTTGTGGTAATAGTTGCACAACTCTGAAATAGGCTAAAAATAATGGAATTGAACATTTACAATGAATGGACAAATTTTATGGTAGGCAAGTTAATCTGTTAGAGATTTTTTATTTCAACTTTGCTAAGTATCCTTACCTTTACTGATTAACCTTTGAGCTTGTGACCCCACCTGGGTCTGCTATGCATTTATTCATTTCTGGGAAGAGCAGTATCACATAGAAAACAGGGCTGAAACATATTATAATGTCCATGGTGTCATTTATCCTTGCTTAGCAGCTAAGCAATTCAACTCATAGATAGATTTAAAGTATATATTGATATCCTTTAGTGGCAAGCAAGGTTTTGGCACTGTTAGTCCATGTCTTCAGAATCTACTATTGAATAACCATTTTAAGTGCTAACTCTTAAATCTAAAAGAGTGATTTCACTTTGTTCATTCAATTAAAAGACTGAGAGGCGAGTGGTAAAAAGAAATCACCTATTCTGCCTTTATTGGGGTTAACTCTTTTCACTACAGTCTTTTTCTTCTGCCAGATTGGCTTCTATCCACAACAAGGGCCTTAGCCTATCCTGCTTTCATGTTGGTAGGTCAGTGTTTGCCATCTACCCTATCCTTATTCAAACATCATGTGGTCTGCCTTAGAGCAGTGCTATTTTAGTAATGAAAACTATCCTCTGGGAAAGGAGCCAGAGTAGCTAAAGAAACCAGAGTGGAAGTGACGAAGAGACAGATTCTCCCTGCTTGGAGTCAAGTAATTAAAATGAACTGATGTATCCTTATCAGACAATTTGCACAGTTTCTATCACCACACAAGTTAGAACTGGGCTCTGTGCTGCACGCCTGTCTACCCGTCACCCATCAAACATGCTTTTCCATGCTAATGTAAAGAACTGTAGGACTCTTTACTTAGCAAACATTTTAAACAAAAAAATAGTCATGAATAGAGCAAATGCAGATATGATTGATTCAACAGCTCCAATTTTCATGCTCTTTTCTCAAGAAGTCTTTGAATACTCACAAACGTGATTTCCCCAGGGTATGAGTAGACCCATAGGTGCATCTGGAATTGAGAAGGTATCTAATAATGGTGCCTCCCAAAGGCTGCATCAGTTCTCTCTTTCCTCCATGTCTTCAGAGTGGGCCAGTCTGGTTCTGGATGGAACTAGGTCTTAGCCAAGTACTATCGTTTCTAGGAGGCCTAGAATCACCTATCTCCTTAGGATATGCATGTGTCTCGAGTATAAAGCATAACGTGTTGATGTGGGAATCTAATTTATAATTAGTGCACTGTACGAGACTGGTTCTTAGGATGTAATCATCAAGCAACTATACTTTCTGCTCACACAAACCCTTGAAATTCCCTCTTCAGATCAATCCTCCAGTTACTGGGAGAAATCTCACTTAATGACATGACATTTTGGGTCATTCTTTGAAAATAAAAAGTAACAACTTATAGTCTCAATTCAGGAAGTGAAATATCCAACTTTATATAGTTATTGAAACTCTAAACTTCATTGAAATGTGAAAGCCTTCTCTTCTTCCATCTTGCAAGTTATAGTCATGGAAAAGAAAGGGCCTTGTCATACTCTTGCAGTCTGCTAGGGCTGGAACTACACAATCCCACAGCCTGGGGGT